ATATATATATATATATACATACATACATACACATGTTATAGATATGTATATTGATCTTATTTATGATGTATTTATAAATTAGTGAAACTAATGGTTCATTTCATTGTAAAAATATGTTTTTGACCTTCATTAACGATGTAACATGAAATATTTGTCTATATTCTAACATTGAACAAATAAAAGGTCATAATATTTGTGTTTTTTTTTATCTACACACATCACAACTCATATTTCCTCTCAAAATCCCAATGAAATATAAAAAACCCGACATTAATCGTACATCTCACATTAATCTCTTGTTTGAATAACTTCAATCGACAACCAAGAAACATATCTAACCAAGAAACACAAGGAGGAACTCATATCTATGACACATGAAATTGATTTATAACATTCTTAAATAGTGTTGCGGCTGTACATGGAGGAGGAGTGCAGGACGAAGCGGAGAAGGATCATTATCGTGGTCATAGAGAAGAAGTAGATGACGATAAGGGGCAAGCAGCGCCGGACAATGATGAAGAGCAGCATCGACGACGACGGACCACCCTTATTCCAACAAGTGATATAAACATATCAAAGTCCCACAATTTTGCAAATTATGACATCAAAAACAAATTTATAATATTAACTCATATAAAGAACCACACGGTTCTATATCCGGTTTCCAAATAAGGAAAGTTTATAAAAAATAAACTCACCTTATTTAATTCATGTAGATGAAGATGAAATAACAATAATCTCTCAACTTATTTAATTCATGTAGATGAAGATGAAATAACAATAATCTCTCAAGTATAAATCACAGAGTCAAATTCGTTCTTTCCTCCTTATGTTTTCAGTTTGTTCGCACCAAAGAACACACACACGAAACTACTTACCCACCTTATTCCCCTTTTTATGAGATAAAATCTCATCTTAAAACCCTTTTAATAAAAGACTCGATGATTAAAACATTTTAAGCATAGATACATATTTAACCCATCAACTTTTTTTTTTGGGTAAAGGGGACGGAACCCCAGGAAAAATGTAACCCATCAACTTATCACCACCTTTTAAAAACAACCTCAAGCTTTATATCCGGAAAACCCAGTTATCACACGGATCATCAACAATATATGTAGCATGAGAAGCCATTTTCTAAGTAAGTAATAACACAAAAACAAGAGAAAGAGAACCCAAGTAGAAGTTGTTAAAAAACCGAAATCAACTACGAGCCAAAATCACGAATTATAGCGAAAATTATGAATTTTTTTTGTGTGTTTATGAGTTTGACATCTTATGCCATACACCATATTACTTATATGTAGTGTACATGGGTTAGAAGAGACCAAAAGACGGCCAAAAAATCCAAAAAGAGATCATATTGGTAAAGAACGATCATTTTTTTTGAAAATCGGGCTTGGTTGTAACCAGTCCAGGGACGAGCCATGGTTTTTCGGAATATCGTAATCCGACCGAGACTGCCGGTCCATAACCAGTCCCTAGCCAGGTCCATTTTGGCCATCTCTAGCTAATATACAACTGTTATAGAAATGATTTTGTTTGTAGGTAGTGACAGATCAAAGATGGTCGGGTGGAGCGGAAGTGACCGGGTGACCATGTATGATTGTGTACGCCTGATACGCCAGGGGAGTGGTCGAGGTTGCTAGTGGCCACTCATGCAACCAAGTTTTTCTTGGAAGTAGTGAAAATTTTATAATCCTTGATGATACTACAATTTTATTTGGTTGCATGCTACGATAAAACCATAAAAATATCATCTTGATCCTCATATGCAGAAACCATTATTGATGTTAAAGTGTCTTTTGAAGTTTGAACATTAGTTGGCATATTAGCTACATCGGTCTACTCATAGACACCATTCTTTGCTATAATAAAAGATTCAAGTAAATTTGCAAAACTTCAAGGATTATTATTGCATCAAATAAAGTATTAGGGTCAAAAATGAAGTTAAACAAGTTTCAGGGGGCTAAAGTGTAACTTATCACTAACTTGTGGGACTTCTGACAAAAATGACCTTAAGAAATAGAGATATTACACTTTTAGCCCTAAAATTTAAATTTTTAATTAAATAGCATTTTATTTTTTTAAACTTTAAACTTTTAATTTCTTTTTCTTAATACAACACTATTCAATCCCCCCATTCTCAATACAATATTATTCTATTTTCTCATTTCCAATACAACACTATTCTAAATTTGTTTATTTTTTACAAAATTTAATTTTTTCTTTAGAACTTTAATTTTTTTTTTAAATTTATTTGTTTCTTTAAAAAATTATTTTTTTGGCAAATAACATTTCAAATTTCTAAAAAAAATTAAACTTTTAAAGAAACAAAAAAAAAAAAAAAAATTAAAGTTCTAAAGAAAAAATTAAAAAGATTTAGAATAGTGTTATATTGGAAATAAGGAAATAAATAGTGTTGTAAAGGAGGAAATTGAATAGTGTTATATTAGGAAAAATAAAATAAAATATTAAAACTTTTAAAAAAATAAATTTCTAAACCAAAAAAAAAAATTAAAGTATTGAAAAAAATTAAAATTTTAAAAAAATAGAGTTCTAAATTTTTTTTAATTTATAGAAAAAAATATTATGAAATAATTAAAATTTTAAGATTTAAAAAAAAATTAATTTTAAAAAAGAAAATATTTAAAAAATAGAAAATAACTTAATTGAAACCGGGTGGGACCCACCAGCATATTTTATTATTACTAGAATGATACTTGCACAATGCAGCGAGATACATCTTGATTTTAATGTTTCGTTTTATATTTTGACTCTAACGATGTTATAATGCAATTTTATGTGGTTTTGAGAAAAAATAAAATGTTATTATTTTTGAATAAAATATTATAAGTTTGTTTGAAAAATAAGCGAAATTAGTATTAAATCAACTATTTAAAAGTCCTTATTTTTTATGTAATTTCTTTAATTTTTTTATAATTTAATTTAAGTTTAATAATGAAATAATTTATTTTTGGTTTAATATTATAAATTTTATAAAGATAATAAGTAAGTATTATGTTAAATTCAATGATTATTCTAATTATATTTTAGATTTTTTATATTTAAAATGAGATGTTTATCCTGTATTTGATTATGTTTATTTGCAATTAGTTATACGAATTCAGATATAGAGTTTTAATAAGTTGTACTTATGCACAGTCTATTTGCAATCTTGAGTTTTAAGTAATATACATTAATAAACAGTACTTTACACATAAAAAATGGTTTTTAAGAGTTTTTGTCAAATATTTTATAATATAATATAGATTAATTTTTTTTTTAAAATCAATTTTTTTTAAAATCAATTTTTTTTAAATTGCAAACAGGTCCTATAGACACCTAACGGTGCTAAGAAGGTAGCAAAAAAATCATTTACTTAAAAAAATTTAATTTCAAGACTAAAAGTGTAATATCTTTATTTCTTAATTATTTTCGTCAGAAGCCCCACGGTCCCATCAACGCACACACACATTGTGTAAATACACACAGAAGATATTTTCACGTGAGAGGACAATTCCTCACAGCTTTCTTCCTCTTTTTAAGCGGAGATACGGTCCGTACTCCGGCAGCCTTCGCCGGAATTTTCAACCGGAAAATATTAACCAGCGACATCTCCTCCGTGTTCACACAAACAAATTTTCTTGGTTGGTAGATCTCGGGAAACCATTATTTAGATTTGTATTTTGCTCAAATAATTCGAATTGAATTTATTTGATACTATATGCGCTTTGACATTTTCCTTGTATTATGCTACGTGATCCGATTTTATTTCTCAAAAACGTGTGATGTTCATGTTCTTCGTTTTTTGAGACATTGAAACTTGTTTCTGTGGAGATTTCTTATGATTATTGGTCTTTTTTATGTTTGTGTCTGCTTTACTTTGCTTCTATGAAGATTGACGGAATGATTTGATCCAAAAGTTGCTGCTAATACGCCTTTTTGTATATAGGAATGGGAGTGAAAGTGGCGAGTGGGTGTGTGAACTGGTCACAACAATCTACGAATTATTGGCCACCTTCTTCTTCACCTCAAACCCTAGCTTCTGCAATCTCTTCACCTTCAACGAGGCGTCGGAGTTTAACCGATGTCGCGCTGGTTTTTAGGTGCGTTCACCGACCGACGATATTTGGAACGAAGCTGAACAGTTATCGGTCGTTTGAAAACCCGAAAATATCCAGAGGACGGAAGTCTATTAAATCCATCGTGAGTGCTAGCTTAGATGCAGAATTCTCGGATGAAGAATTCTGTAGAGAGATTCAGGAATTGGCTTACATATTCCAATTATCCGATGACCATGAGAGTAATACCATGGACAATCACGACTTAATGGTATCAGAAACGCAAAACCTAGAACCATTTCCTAATTCGAAGATGGAACCACCAGATTGGGTAGGGGATATGATTCCGGCGAGCATAGAGCGGAAGGCAAACAGCATTGAGCTACCACTTTCGTTACGAATCATACAGAGAAAGAAACAATGGCAGGCAGGATTCAGAGAAGCAGGGGAATCTGCTTATTGTTCGGTGAAGAAGGCATTCTCTTCAATGGTGTTCATAATTCGCGAGCTTCAGAGCTACACTATTCACTTGAGAGAGGCTTTGTTCTACGAAGATCTACAGGGGGTTTTGGTGAGGGTACAGAAAGAGATGAACGCATCTTTCGTTTGGCTCTTCCAGCAGGTTTTCTCGCACACACCCACGTTAATGGTGTACGTGATGATTCTTTTGGCGAATTACAGCGTCTTTGCGATGTCGAGTAATGTCGCCTTTGCGGTGGCGCCGCCTCCCGCGACCGTGGAGTCTGTTTCGTTTGTCGGAAACAAGAGTCACGCAAAAATTGATTCTTCATCAATCAAGACATTTCCCATGAATTCGAGTGGAAAAACCATGTCAATTGGCGGAATCAATGGTGGCGGAGGGAAATCCAGGCCTGTAGCTAGCGGCACAGACGGTGAGGAGAGTTTCGATGGAGCAGTTACACATCACCGAAGAATTGTTCCTGATGGAGCTTCATTGTCATCAACAGTAAACCCGTCAGTCCCGAGCCAAGGGATCGAGGAAGAGGAATCGGGTTTATGGAAATCAATTACTGAAGAAGCTGATAACATGCAGGATGTTATCAGATATGGAGTTGTTGATCGGCAAACCATGCAAAGATTTGTTTCGCCGGTGACTGCAACAGCCGTGGAAGAAGACACCGCGGAAGGTCACTTCAGAACGGAGCTTCTATATCAAATGGGTCTATCAGAAGAGCCCGATAACCCGCTTCTCCTTGCCAATTACGCTCAGTTCCTGTACATCGTCGTCCAAGATTACGATAGGTACAACTCTTTAACCTGCGATGCTTAAATCTTTAAAATTTACATTTAAGCACTCCATCTTTTAGTTATCAGAAGAACACCAAATATTTATTTTGATATTTAAATCCTCAATTCATATCTATATAATCAGTTCATCTAGTTATGTGAAAAGACTCCATGTTCGTTCTTAAATATTCCAGCATTTGGTTATTTGAAAAGATGATGTTCATATGATTATGAAGTTGTAATATGATATCAAGTTTTCTCATGATAAAATATCTTTGTCGACTAAAGTGAAAGCCAAATTGTCATCTTATAAGAAAGTAGGAGGAAAGGGATAAGAAGGGGTGGGTATGTGTGGTTTGATTTCTTTGAATGAAAAATAAAGCAATCATCTAGATATTTGTGAATACCTTGTACCTATCTTTATGAAAATATTACATTTTGTACAAAAGGACAGATTCTTTCATCTAAAATGATGAAAGGTAGAGATTTTGGTAGATTTTTTTAAAGCTTTCTTTAATAAAATGGAGAATGCAAATTCTTTAAATTTGAAATATTCTTTCAAAATTAATAATTTTAAAAGAAAAATATTTTTTAAAATAAATATTTTAAAAAATTTGAATCTTAAATCTCCGTTTTGAAGAATCTGTTGGAGATTCTTATTTGAATGATCCCAGATTTTGACGTTAGTTTATGTTTAACAATTAGATCAATCTCCAAACCCCTTTGTAAACAAATTCAAAATTCTACAAAGTTATATTTTTATTTCTTTTCATGTAGATAATTGGGTGTTGATAGTTTCTTTTATCAAGAGTTGGAATTTTCAAGTAATATGTTTATTAATTTATGTGGACAGAGCAGAGAAATACTTCAAAAGGGCTTCTAAAGTGGAACCCAAGGATGCAGAAGCCCTTAGCAAATACTCAAACTTCTTATTGGAAGTGAGAAAGGATTTGTGGGTTGCTGAAGAGACTCTATTGGAAGCCATTGCCCTTGACCCCAGTAACCCCTTTTATGCAGCCACTTATGCAAATTTCCTCTGGAGCAACGCAACCGATGATGCTTGTTTCCCCATCGATTCGTCGGACATAGCCAACTCCGATGGCCTTTAATTAACCGCTACAAAATGAATATTACGGTGATGACAATTCCCGATTATAGCTTAGTTGTATAATCGGTAATAAGGATGGGAAAAGAAACAAGGTGTACCGGTTAATGTGTGGTTGAAGATTATATGGTTATAGTTAAGGAAGTTAACAAAGACTTTGGTGGTCGGTGGCAAGTCTAGGTTGTTAATGGACATTGATCTAGGGTGGTTACTGGTGGTGGTGATGCATGCTTTCCAACAAAAACTTTTGGATGTTCTTTAGTTTGATTTTATTCTGTTTCAGCTACAAAATGTGATTATGCAAGAGCCAACAATTGTAATTAAACTTTGTTTATAAATTATAATTTAAATGTTTTAGTAAATGAGGTTTCTTTTTGGATTTTTAATTTGATACCATATTGATTAGTTGAGCTTTAAAAATAAATAATGTGACTTCGAGTCATATTCACATGTGAATATAGTTTTGAGGAAGATGTTTTTGGCTTGATTACATATGAATAACCATTATATAAATAATCATGAGTATTATTTATATATAAATATATATTACATGTGACTGTAAATAATATAAACTGTATGCAACTAAATGTCCGGTCCTGAGGTTTTTGGTAACTCATGACAAACTTAACACCAAATAAAATATTTGAAGTATATTTTTATTCAATCTATATATATATATATATATATATATATATATATATATTAATAATACCCGTATTTATTTTTATTTTTTAAAATGGAGCTATTTATTTTGCCACAACAACTTTATAAATTATAATATTATACAATTGTAAACCAAACTGAATTATTTGTTCATAAATAAATTTGTGCACACATGCAATATGCACAGACATTTACACAAATATTATACATGCATTTAAATGTGTACCAATAGTATGTGTTATTTTTTTCCATATATATATGCATTTTTTTATTTTCATACAGCATAGCGTATTGAGTGTGTTTAGTCATACATCATATATTAACAATAATATAATTTACAATATAATATTAATAAAGACTATAATCAAAATATCGTTACAATCAAATAAACTAAAATTATATAAATATCTAATTTGAGAGACCATTTTGAAATAAAAATAGTTGAACACAAAATTGGTAAATGGATGAGAGAATACCAAATTTGGTGTTATAGTAATTAAAATACCAACACCAAAACAATGTAAGAATTGGTGTTTAGTTGAAGTGAAATTGTGTGGAAATTGGTGTAAAAATAGGATTTGGTGTTGGGAGATCTATTAACAACCATGAGATCCACATACATAAGATGTGCAATTATGATAAATATCTAAACCCATACAAAATATTTATTATTTGATTTGATTTGATTGAAAATAAATAGATAGGTGTTGACATGAAAACGAAACAAAAACGACAGAATTTTAAAATTAAAAAACTTGAGTGGAAAGTAATTAAGAAGCAAAATGAGCCAATAAATAAGCAAAAGTAGCGATAGTTTAGTGGTTAGTGGTAAAGGGTATTGAGATATTGTTTGAGGTCTTAAGTTCACATATTTCAAGAACACTACACTAGTATACTATAACAAGCTAAGAGCATTTACCTAAATTAATTGATACCTTTGTGCTTGGAATTCCCTGGGGAGTCCAATAGAGAGAGTCTAAACTCTAAACTTGTTTTAGATATAACACCCACCCACTCCTTCCTACTCCTAGCCCTAGGGTCACCATGAGTAATATACATACATGTGACTATGAACAGACCAAATCAAACAAGTGGGATGATACCTATTATCAATCTCTCAAAGTGTATAACTGCTATTTCTTTGAAATCCCCACAAGTGTGAGTGAACATGTAAGAAGAACAAAGAATTGTAGATACAACAATAGAAAGCAGTAAGAAGAAGGTATGATGAAAAATAGCAAAAGAAAAAAAACACACTTTTTACACATTCTACGCATTTGGTAACCTATCCACCTTTCTTCTTCCTATCTACCAACCTCAAAAGCTACATGTAGTTTGCTACCTTAATCATGCATCTCCATTAATTAACTCTTATTTAGAAGTCATGTCCTCAAAAATGCTTAAGGCCGCGTTTTCCACTATATATATGAAGCGGTGTTGCCAATGATCTCCCATGACGTGTCCAAACTCTCTCTCTCTCTTAATATACATCTTTGGCTATTATAGAGTCCAATAGTGAGAGTCTAAACTTTGTTGTATTGGTCCAAGTTTGATTGCCTTTTCTAGCTTAGTAGCTAGGTTGTCTTATAAGTCATCGTTAGCTATGTGTCGACTTATCATACCTCCAAGGTACTCCTCTTCTTCGTGCTTCTCCAAATCACCTCTCATGATACACTATTGTAGCCCTTTTCTAGATCTATGAGCATCATGTATAAGTCCTTACTATATATATGTTGTCTATATTTCTCCATGAGTAATCAGAGTGCCTCCCTAGCATGAAACCAAGACTCCTTGAATTGTGTTTGTTTTTTGCTCAACTTTCTCTTGCACTAAGACTATTTGTTGTCCTTAGTCCTCCTAATTAATCATAATCTATATAGTCCTATCAACCTCTAGAGTTATTCTAAATTAACTCCTATACCCTCTTACTAAATAAACCCTCTACCATATTTTTATCCTCACAGACGTCAAGATCAATTATCTTTCTTTTTTTTTTTACATTTTCAATATGCGAATTAGCTATGATTTGACCAAAAGGGGGTTCACTAATTAACAACCAATATTTACCTTCGGTGTTGCGACTTGAACTCATTTGAGGTAAATTAAAAGCATTAGCAACATAAAAAATAAAAATTAGTAAGGAACGTGTTCACATGGACCTTTGATCATTGGCTTACACATGATTCCTCTGGTGGGTATAACTGGTCTCATCAAGTTGTAATCAATTCACATTATGATCATGCTTTACCTATAGACAACTGTTTACCTAATGTGATCGTAACTCCGATGCCTCTCACTACAAATAGAATATCATTTTGTTAATGATATCATATATATGATAACCTGCAGTTATATATACAAAGAATATGAGCATGAATCGGTTAGAAATAACTAATCAAGTCAATCATATCATCCAATAAAATCATGTACAATTTCTTATATATATATATATATATTAATTTATATTATGTTGAATCAATTGAGTTTTGATTAATCAATACATATAAAACAACATTTGCTATTAAAAACATTCAATTCTAGCTAACATGTTCATCAATCATCAACGACATGCACAACCCCATCATTGTTTGCTATAACCGACACACCCTCAACGCCCTTGTTATTTTGTTGATTTCTCAATCATTATCAACATCACCCGCATGATCCTAGCTTGAAACCATAGCTTATTTAGGAAACAAGACCAAATCAAAAATAAATAAGATCGGGCTTGATCTGACTTTATCAATTATACTTGTTTAATTTAATTATTCAAGACCTCAATCTCATGCCAAGACCTTATATAATCACAATCCATATCAAAACACAAGCAATTTTTTGGACTCTAGAATTAAATAATTGAATGTCAATTAAATTTTAAGAAAAACTTGATTTGTTTTTGTTTTATGAAAAAAAAATGTCAGGATCATATAAACGTATTGTTAATATTAATGGACATTCAATTATAATATTCATCTTAATGAAATATTTTCTTCATAAGCTAATTTAAGATAATGTCAAGAGGCATTACTTACTTACTTAATATTAATTAATTCTGAAATTAATGAATTAAATAATAATGACAATCAAATTCCTAATAAATAACCAAAAGAAGAAAATTAAATGATAAGTTTAAAAAACTATTAACACAATATTATCGATAATGAGAAATGTTTCTTATATTTTTGATTATTCTCATTTTTTGGTTTTCATCCTTTTGGGTGTGTTTGATGTCTAGACAAAACAAGACATAACAAGACGGGACAAAACAGAACATGACAAGACAAAATAGAACACCTGTCCAATATTTGGTAAAATAAAACTGGACAGAACATAACAAATAAAATAACCAATTTACTCATAATGAGTTTTTTTTTTTTAAATTAGTTTATGTAATTTATTAAATTAATTAATTTATGTAATTTATTAAATTATAATACAAGTCTGTTTCACTTTGTTCCACCTTGTTCCACCCCGTTCCATAGGGTAGGGGTGGAACAGGCTTGTTCCATTTTGTTCCACATAAAAGTCATGCCAAACATGAGACAAAGATTCCTGTCCTGTTCTGTCATGTTCAGTCCAGTATACCAAACACACCCTTATTAATTTATAAAAAATTTACACACATATAGATACATTGTACATATCATACTACACACACATACATAATTATATAAAAAAAAATTCAAGCAATCCATATAAATTTAATTATGATATTCAGAAGTTTTTTATTTATTAATTAAAGCCAAAATAACTAAAGGTCGAGTAATCGAGATTACGTATTTTAGTCAAGATTTTAAATGACGTGAAACATGATATGACGACGAGGCCACACCTTTAAGCCTTAGAAGATATAGTGAGGTCACGACGTTTTTAAGGCGTGATTTATAGCGACAAATGTCTATAACATATACACACACATGTATTCTACCATTACTCATCAGTATTAAACAATTTAAATTATATTATATATCAAAAACTAACAAGTAAGATATTAAAAAGATGAAAATATAAAATATCTCATTAAAAACCCGCTCATTTGGCCATGACGTGCTACATACTTATCGTGGCGTTAAGCCTTGAGTCAGAATACGCGATGACGACTATTGTGGCTAGTCTTTAAGAACACTGATTCTAGTTCTTTTTTCCCTTTTTACTACATAATTAACTTGGGAGTATTTTTTGGTCTTCGAAATAGAAGTACCTTAAAAAGATCATAAATAAAGAGAAACAAAGTCATCAAGAATTTGACTTTGTTTTTCTTAACCATGCAATATTTATTTTACCAGGGCTCATGGTAACACTTCGAATCATATAAACCTCTTGTTTGTAAGAACCGATGATGCCAAATACCGAACTTTATGGCCTTTAACATCCTAGGTGTTTATTTTTCTTTAAGTATACATGGAAAAAAACAAGAAAGGCAAAAAAGGGTGCATGGATTATGAGTCAACTCTTGATTGACTTAGTAATAAAATGCAAATGTCGAAATCAAAGGATTCAAAGGAAATTTAGGGTTTATACCATCCTACATTACATATACTTGATTAGTAAAAATTAAAAATCAAGGCTTAATGTTCTCCCCAATACACTCCTCCTCAATAATTACCATTAGTTAATGCAAAGTAAAAATGATTAATTACCAAGGACTTGATTGTGAGCCACTTATGTATTTTTGTCCACGAGAGGAAGCTTGGGAGTTATACTCAGAAACAATTCTCAGCCGTTGGATCAAACCTGATCCAATGGCTAGCTGTGTCATTGCAGTAAATGGATATATACATATACTTTGTGTAGCTATATTTATTGAGTTTTCTAACAGAGACTAAGAAAAAGCTAAAGAAAGGAAAAATACCAAAAGACCACTTTCCTTGAAGTTATTTCCTTTGCATAAAAAATCTTTCTTGAAGCCTATGGAAGGTGGTGGTCATGGTGGTGGTGGCTTTCCTAATTATGTGAATTTACAAAAGCATCCTCTTGTTCCTCCTCCATTGACAGCAATCGGTAGGTTCTTGCAGGGTCAACGTCGTCAAAACCATTTTCCTTATCACAACTTTGAGCACAACAAAGGAATAGTCAACCCTGCAAATGGGGTTTGTGGATTCTCTTCATCCTCTAATGGAGGGATTGGTGGGTTGTATGGGGAACATGAAGTCTCATTAGTACCATGTTTGCCAATGGACAAAATCTGTGCAGCCGATCATGATGTTTTTCTCAAAAACTATGGAAATATAGGACTCAACCATGAAGTGATCAAATCTGGTAAGTCGATGAAATCAAAAGGTGGTGGTCGTAAGAGGTTGATCAAGGGACAATGGACAGATGAAGAAGACAGGTTAATTAATTAAACATACTTTTCCCGATTTTGATTCTTTATCCTGATTAATCTTTTTTATAATTTCGATTCTTAATTATCCTGATTGATCTTGAAGTTTTCATGGAAGAACATTGAACAAATTTTCACCATTTTTGTGTGTAGGAAGCTACTTAGGTTGGTGAAACAACATGGAGTCCGAAAATGGGCTCACATCGCTGAGCAAATGACCGGTAGAGCGGGGAAACAGTGCCGCGAGCGATGGCATAATCATTTGCGACCCGATATCAAGGTTTCTCATTTGATCTAATATGTTATGGCTTATTGGAATTCAACTCCATAAGTTCCCCCAAAAAAAAGCATTAAAACAATCTAATCTTGTGATGGATGATCCAAAATCTATATGATCTATGAACTGTGGATTTGGTGTATGTTTTATCAAACTTATAATTTGATCTCCTCTTTATGTCAAAAACCCTAATTTTATTCCCCTCAATTTGTTTCTTCTTGTCAAACCCTAATTTTTCTTTTACCAAACTAATAAATTCTTGTGGTTGTGAATCTTGAAGAGGGATTTTTTTTGGAGATCAGTAATTTGTTCATCTCTAGGGTTTTTCCTTTTGGTTATTTGTTCTTTAATCCAACTTTGGACTTTATTCGAACACCCTCCTAGCTAGGGTTCTATTTTCACCAACGAATTTTCGCACATATAATGATGTCTAAGATAAGGATGATTTCAATTCTTCGGATGATCTCCGATCCGTATCTTAACCACCTCGAATGTTTCTCAATCACGAGCTTGTTCATTTATTTTGTTTCTTTTTCATACCATAAAGAAACCTACTTGTCATGGGATCAAGGCTGTGAGAAACTTAAACTTAGGGTTTCTAGCTACGTTATCCGAAAACTAATGTTTGATCGGGTCTTTAAGATACAAAAATTGATTACCAATTGGATGCTCATCTTTCCTTGTGTTGTTCCTTTTAATATACAATAAACATGTTAATTTGTCTATTCATTTTCTTCAGAAAGATACTTGGAGTGAAGATGAAGAGATAATGCTGGTTGAAGCTCATCAGAAGGTTGGCAACAAATGGGCTGAAATTGCAAAATTAATTCCGGGGAGGACGGAGAACGCGATAAAGAACCATTGGAATGCAACAAAGAGGAGGCAAAGTTCTCGTCGTAAGAGCAAGAAAAATGAAGCCAAAAGTAGAAAGTCTCGATCTTCTATCTTACAAGAGTACATTAGAAGCAAGACCACCACTAATGCCCGTGATCATAATGTTGCTTCCACCACCACCACTGCCACCGCCACCCATACCAATGCAACTCCGGGCAGTTCCACCGCAATCTGCGCTGATGATCCGCCCATTAAATTCAACATTCTCTTTCCTCATGAGCTGCCAAATTCAAACTCTGATGACACTCCATCTCTAGACATGGATCAATCCTATGATGATGAGTTAACTTTCATGCAAAGCTTTTTTGGTGATAGCAACCTCATTAGAACACAAGATTCAAACACAACCTCCAATGAACCCTCAGACCACATCATAGATCTAAAATCGTCTTTAGACATGAATCCCCTAGGGTTTAGTAGTAGTTCACCATACGGGTTTGCTTCATCTTCGTTTATCTCCAATGAGTCGTCCATGGTTCACATCAAAGATCCAAAGCCCTCTTTAGACGTGAATCCACTAGGGTTTGATGGCAATTTGCAATTTGGGTTTCATTCATCTTCATTAGTTCCTGATCATGATGAGAACCCGAATTTATATTTGAACAAAGAAGATTCATCGAAAACCCAACTCGCTTCTGATGTTTACATATCTTATCTCCTGGAAGGAGCCACTACATTGTCTAACTCTAGTGACCATTGCTGCTATGGGGACATGAAAAGGGACTTGGTGTTTGATGCTGATGAACAAAGTGCAAGTTCTTCAACAGATGGGACTAAAGAGATGGATCTGATGGAGATGGTGTTCTCTAATTCTCAGTTTTCTCAAGGTAGTAATTTTCTGATATAATCAACCTCAGCTCATTGATTATTTCCATATGAATAATGTTTGGATGTGCCCTAAATTACTCTTTTAAGATTTTTTTTACTCCTTTCCCCCCTTTATTACATGCAAAAACTGAAAAAGAAACAACGAAAAGTAGCCTGAATTTATGCTACAAATAAAGTGTTAAGTTTTCTATTGCTATCAATTGCTTGAAAATTTTGGCTGGCTGCAAAACTGTTATACTAACCGAGTGAATGCCAACCCCCCCCCCCCCCCTCCCTCCACGTTGGATATAGAGTTGGTTCAAATGAGACAAGTAGGGGAATATGAGAATGATCAAACCACATGTGATTCTACACTAAATTCACGAGTAAAATAACGTGTTTATGCCTGATCTAGTCAGGAGTCAAGTCAACCTCACACTCTTGCATTGACCATGTTACATATACGTATTTTAGTGTAAAATTACATGTGGTTTGACAATTCTCGTGTTTGACCATGTTCTCATTTTAAACCTCCATCTATATATACCTATATCTATAAATGTAAATATAACATATATATATATATATATATACACACACATATACATATAGACTTGGGATCACGTGAGACCAACTTGTTTTTGTGAGACCCGTGATACCACTTTTTTACACTTGAAAAATCACAGTAAAACGTTGTGAAGATAATCTTCACAGTGTTTTTGCTGTGAATGTTCGGTTTTTTTTGCCTTCATAGTGTTTTGCTGTAAAGTTCCAAATGTAAAAAAAAATACTCTGACGGGTCTCACGAAAATATGATGGTTTCACGTAAACATATACAGATGTGTGTTTTATATCTACATATAAAAGGCTTAATTATTTAGGAACTTCAAAATCTATGAGATTCGTGAGAACTTCTATTTTAAGGGTTTTTTCACATGATTTTTTTACCGTCTAAATATAGTATTTAATGTATTGATTAATATATATTTGTTTTGCCATATTTTTGTTTCTTATGTATTCGGTTCACAATGTGAAACATTTTTTACGTGTATTTTTTGTTTCATAAATATGTAAAAAATGTTCACTTTGTGAATCGAGTATATTTCAACAAATACATTATGAAACAAATATATGTTACTCAATATTCTAAATCATAGTCTTAGGTAGAAAAAAAATCATATGAAATAACGCATGATATACAAGTTTTTAAGATTATCATAATTTCATTGGTTCTCAAATGAAATTCAATATATATATATATGCATTAATAGCTTCGTAAAGGGAAAGCTATTTTATCTATAAGTAATACTATATATATATATATATATATATAGGGTATATTTCTTTTACAACCCTCCCTATTTATACAACCCATGCAACCTCCCTCTCAACCAATCAATGAATTTTGTTTGTTTTAATTTATTTTTTAAATGAAAAGGTTAATATTGTCATTTGGCTAATTTTATATAATAATTATTATTTTTAAATAATATCAATAAATATCCTATTAATTATGAATCCATATATTTTCTATTAATAACTGAAACTGATATGGTAATTAAAACATTACTAAATAATAATTTTCTATTAACAATAATGATGAATCGATGGAAGCATTTTTTTAGAATAATATTTCATCATAATCCTATGGATCCCATCTTCTTCAACGAGACATTCGTCAAGGATATTTTTGATGAAATGGATGGCATTAACGGTAAACGTAACGGTACTAATGATGGTACAACACAAGATAAATGCAATTACTCAGCTAGGGATGATGATGGGTGCATTCGTCAAAATGAAACAATACCTGAGCGTAGTGACTCGATTACGGACGGAGTTTCTGCTGAGTTTGACGATGATGATGTTCCGTCTTTGAGTAATGAAAATGAAGGTACTGCTTTGTTATAGTAAGTGGTGCAAGATATGTAAATCTGTAATGAAACCCGAAAGATGATGTGGTGTCAAAAATCTGTTTTGTTATAGTAATCAAATGCAGATTATTCATAAGGATTAATGTAAATCTGTAATGAAACCCGAAAGATGATGTGGTGTCAAAAATCTGTTTTGTTATAGTAATCAAATGCAGATTATTCATAAGGATTAATGTAAATCTGTAATGAAACCCGAAAGACGATGTATGTTTCTTATTCATAATGCAGATTATTAAAAAATCTGCAAGATATGTTTTGTTATGGTTAATTGTGTATTTGATTGCACGAAGATGCATCTGGAAGACTTCTTCATAACCTGCATAATACAGAACAATGAAACCAGATTCATCACGTATTTGGTTATGGAATAAGTTGTTCATAATCTGCATAAACCTGGAAGATGAAACCAGATGCATCACGTAAATTCATATGGAAGAAGTTGTTCATAATCTGCATAAACAAGATTTGATGAAACCAGATGAATCACGTAAATTCATATGGAAGAAGTTGTTCATAATCTGCATAAACAAGATTTGATGAAACCAGATGTATCACGTAAATTCATATGTAATACAACCGAGAGTGATTCTCGCGTTCGTAATCTCTTAGCATCCTTTCTTCGAATAGATGAAATCCCCAATTCCATTTTTACCCTTATTTGCCCTCAATATATGCAGCGCGTGTTTCCCAACTTCAATTTTATTACAATTATGCCATGAATTTAATCTGGATCATTGATTAAAAAATGAATGGTTTAGATTAAGGTTGTATAGGTTGTATGAATGGTAGAAGGTGTATAATAACACCCCTCTATATATATATATATATATATATATAGGTTGGTTATTATACAACCCTTGACATTTGTGCAACCAATACAACCTAATTTCAACCGTCCATTTCATTTGATTAATATGTGATTTCATAGAAGTTTTGATTGTTTCATAATATAAAGTATTGATCATAATTAATGAACCATATTCATCTTCCATAAATATTCAAATCATAATAAATGAGTTCTCATCATTTCTATAAATATCTCAATTTATTGGGTTGCATTGGTTGTACAAATGCAACGTGTTGTATTTGAAACAAACTCTCTCTCTCTCTCTCTCTATATATATATATATATGGGCACGTTCAAATGAAAACCGTGCATTTCTAAGAAACCGTGTAAACCAATTTCGACCAATAGAAAAATTCTTTTTTTCTAATTAAATTTAATCAATAAGGGTTTTTCGGTCATTTACAATATTTTCTATTAAATATGGAAGTTATTAATAAATCTTAATTCAGGAAACGTAATAAAGAAAATTGTATAAATGGTAACATTTAAATATTTAATTATATTAAAATATTAAAAATTTATATTTCATATATTTCATGAGTTATAATCAGGAAACGTGTCTTGATGAAACAATTGAATTATAGAATGAAATCATCAAAACGTAGATGAACAAAAAAAATCCACAAAATGAAACAAGTTTCATGAATGTGAAACCAGTTCATGTTGCAAAGAAATTAGGTGAACCCATTTTTATGATGAACCCGTTACATTGATGGTGTAGTTAATCCTTTTTTTTTATGAGAAGCAAAATGAAACGGTGCATTTTGAAAAAAAATTATGAAAGGGAAAATGAAACAGGTTTCATGAACGTGAAACCGGTTCATGTTGCAAATAAATTAGGTGAACCAAAACATTTTTATGGTGAAACCGTTGCATTGATRGTGTAGTTGATCCATTTTGTTGATGAAAAGGAAAATGAAACCGGTGCATTTTGAAAATAAATTATGAAAAGTAAAATGAAGCATGTTTCATGAACGTGAAACCGGGTCTTATTGCAAATAAATTATGTGAACCAAAACATTTTCATGGTGAAACCAATTTCGTTTATATAATGTAATTCAAAAATTTAAAAGGATTCACTCCATATAATTGAATATGGTGTGTTATATTCAATTTTTTTTTTTGATATGTTTTATTGATGGATGTGATTTAAAGTTAAAAATAATATATTACTTTAAAAAATGAAAATAGTGTCATTAATATCGAGAAAGATGTTACCAAATCTTAAATTTTGTTTACCATTTTTGCTCTTACTATGAAATAAAATAAAATTTTAATATATATATATATATATATATTTTTTTTTAATTTCCTAAAATAAAGTAAACTAATCTTGATCATTGATCAAGAAAATGGATAGATGTATATATATATATATATATTTTTTTTTTTAATTTCCTAAAATAAAGTAAACTAATCTTGATCATTGATCAAGAAAATGGATAGATGAGATTGGTTTACACAAATGTGGCAGATTTTTATTTGAACGCTCCTCTCTCTCTCTCTTTATATATATATATATATACTATCTTATAAAGCATTTGGCTAAAACTCTTAAAACTCTTAAAAACTTTTAAAACTTTTAAACTCGTTCATCCCTAAACGATTTCATCCCATATCTGAATTCATGTAACTAACTGCAGATAAACACAATCAAATACAGGATAAACATCTCATTTTAAATATAAAAAACTAAAATATAATTAGTACAATCATTAAATTCTAA